TCAAAACAGGTAGCAATCTTAGTGGAATTTCCTTGCTAGGGTGTAAGATTTCCTTGCTAGGGTGTAAGTTGCACAAAAAAAATACACATACTGTAACATACTGTAATGCGCATGGTTCAAACAGATCGTTGAAAGTTCAAGAAACCATAGCCGAGGGTTGCATGGGCCACCTCTTCAACTTGGATGATTCTCTTTAACAATGCCTAACAATATCCGGGGCCATGTGAACAGTATGGCTTCTGAGCTTGGAATGACAATTGCCATAAAACTGTTCCCCCAGCTAGACCTCTCCTGCCATAAGTAGGCCAGGAGGCTCAATGCACTCAGACTTGCTGCACTGTACATGGAAGTGCCTCTTCCCTCTTTGCAAAGTAATACAGGTCACTTTTCTGACCAAGTAGGCAATTCTCCACGACCTCATGCGTTTGTCCCGTTGGTGCGCTCACCCGTCCCATCAGCCGTAACAAGCTAAATTGGTGCGCTGGCAGCGTCACAGCTTGCTCCAACCACACGTCCCCGGGACCATTGATCCTCCTGGAGCATGCGAACCGGGCAAATGTGTTGCCCCTTCCTGGGCATTGCCAACATCCCATGGACTCCAATGGCCCTTTATGAGATATCCCGGATTGCACTGTCTAGTCTAGACTGGGTTGACCATCATGAGGTGTTTTGGCAACTAGGATTGTCAAGGGGGATTTCCAGCTAACCCCAAACAAAAAGCACATTGCCAGCTATTTTTGGACTAATTGTCATCCAAAACATGTGGCTTTGTACACTGTTTGCTTAGTACATAGTTGCAATAGCAGGTTTGAGGTCACCCTGGTTTCTGCAACAAATGCTTGTGGATGCAAACAGGTTTGCTCTGATCAAGCAAATTCTTAATCCAGAAAATCCTGCAACACCCAGCGCCCTTGAGTAATACCTGGTAGTACTCTATTTGGTTCCTTCACATCAACGAAAGCTTCAAGTGTTGGAAACGAGATGGGTTTGCACTGCACGCGCCTTGTGTTGGAAAGGTCTTAATTCGTGACCGCCACTGACTCGCTGCTCCCTTGAGTTTCCGTAGCAACATCATGCAACATCCTGCAGAAGCAAACATGCCATCAAATCTGACCAATGGTGCCCATTCAATCCCATTCCAGCAAGCTTTCCAGCAATCCACTATAAACCACTTCCCGAGCTTCCGCCTTCACACCATCACGGTCTTCCGGAGACAAACACGAGACTCTCTTCACTCGGACCCGTCAAAACCTGGCCTGCCCTGGACACCGGTGGCTGTCCTCAATTCTCCTGGAAGCAAAAGCCTGGGTGACATGCTCAAATGAGCAAAGTGAAGGCTCGACGCCGAAGAGCGGGGAGAACCTCACTTCAAACCTCACTAAAGGGCTATTAGGTTGGAGGCCATCGCATCGCTATTAAGCTTGGTCAGCTGTGGACCTGAACAACCGAGCAATAGCGAGAACGCTTGAAGAAGAGATACAGTGAGTATGATTTTGCAATTGATGACTGCAAAGGTAGTGCCGCACAACCACAGCAACAATCTCCCACTTCGACTGCCGCTGATGCTGCTCCTCCTGCTGTTGAAAGCCTTCCATTCAAACATATTCAAACGTATTCATGAATATCCAACCAAGCTTATGCGCTTCAAATTTCAAACGTTTTATATAACACTCATGAAATAACTCATTTCTCCTTCAGCAACACCCATGGAGTGCGGCCCCAAGATTCACTCGTTCGGCCCCTCCCCCCTGCTTGCTGAGTGGCTTGTAGAAGGCGTCGTGCTTGGGGCCAAGCTCTGAACGTACTTCGGGGCGAATGAAGAGCTGCGAGATCTGGCCAGCGTCTGTCGTGACTCCAGTGCAGGTTCTTGATTCGAATGATTGATGTCTTATGTGCCTGAAAATCCAACGAAATACCTTCTCCAGTGTCAAATGATCTTCGACCACTTGGTGACTTGGTGCATCTTGATCTCTCTCCACCCGAACCCCCGGTCGCCGGGGGGGTTCTGGAGCGCATCGACGGTACAAACCGTGTCTCGAACCAACTGCACCGTCCCCCAAACTGCAAGGTCCGAACCAATCCGCGGGATCAATAGTGATACAACATGTGGAACATGGTGGATATGAATAATCGTATATTTTAAAAAATCATGTAAAACAACGTATATAAACATAAACAAAGGCAACAAATCAAAGAACGAGTCTGCAAACCCGTTGAAGAAGATCCACCCGTTGAAGATCCGTTTGCGCCACCAGGGCCCTGCCAAGGGCAGGGCCCTGCTTCAGTGCCACGGACGGTCCGGGCACGTCATGGCATTCAGTGACGTCATGTCATTCTGCCAGCAGCAAATACAGAACAAAAAGAGTTTGCGGAGATTGATCAAAGTAATTAAGAACAAGCCAAAATTTGGAGTTTCACTCACTTCAAGGCATTCGATTGCATCTTCTGTGTGATGAAGGATCACCCCAACAAAAATATCACCAAAATGCGTTCTGATTAAATCTCGACCATCCCCTTAGGCCCGTTTTCATCCCCATGAACCCACGTTCTTTGGGCCTCAAGATTGGGATCGTGAATGGGCACGCACGGGCAATCCGTTTTGATCAAGTGGCCACCTCACGCATCGCGTCGGAGCGACGAAAAGATCTCACAACTGGAGCTCTTCAAACCAACCAGGACTCATAGGATAGACCTAAGATATTCCATACATGGCTGGACCTCTGGAGCTGTCGCCTGACTCCCAACCAGGCCTGGCCTGACTCCCAACCGTGACCCCAAATCCTGGGGATCTCAAGGACGGTCATGAACTGAAGCTCCTGGATGGTTTCTCTTGTTCCAAACTTCAAAAACTGTAAAGGAGTTTAAGTGCTCTGATGTGCTCTCATGTGCTCTTATCAAACTTCAACACTTCCACTCTTCAGTTTGGAATTTCCATGCTCTTATGTGCTCTTGATTTCGGGCACTGCCATGGGCATCTGAGATGCCCCAAAAACCACATGGAGCAAGCGACTTCCCGACATTCTTGGGCCTCAGGTCTCCCCCGGTACATTTGAACCTATGAAGATCCTCCGGTGCTGGAAGTCCCGCAGTGAGCGCAGTTGTTCAGGGAGTTCTTTAGTGATCTTTAGCCGAGCCCCTCCAGAACCAGGTATTCGGAAAAGCCAACGAAAACAAGTCCAAAATAGTCCAAACATCAAACCCAGTCGCCCCAAGGACAGCTGCGATGGGACAATGTTGCGAGGCCACCGTTCTTCCACATCGTTGCGGCCACCTCCGCGACCCGGGTAGAAGGAAGAGATGGTGAGAACGGTGGATGGGTGACGATCTGAGCTGGACGTGCTGTTTTTTGTTAAAGAAGAACATCATGGCTGAAGGTTCCTCTCACCTCTCACTTAGAAGAGCATCCAAGAATCTAGGAGCATCGAAAGGCCTGTTCGATGGTTTTTAGTGTTAGAATGTGGGTGCTGGGAGCATGCCTTTGTCCCGGCGACCTCCAAGATCCACTCCGTGGCTTCGACCAAGATCTCGTCGAAGTCGGGACGCGTCGACGCGTCGTATCTCCTGCCTCCCAATCCGAGTCTGACATGATGGAACTTCTCAGGCCATAGGCATCGATGCCTCACACCAGCGGCCAAAAGAACACGGGCCTGGGATCGTCAAAACATCTCGAAGGTGGGTAGGTCACTGAACATCAGGGTAGGTGACTGAACGTCAGTCACCTACCCACCCTTGAAGATTGCATTGAGGGGGAGGAAGGAGATAGAAGATTTGAGAGCGAAACGTAGCCACCGATGGCTGACGGATGGTATAATAGCCGTGTAGTATAGTGTAAACTTCTTGGATCGTACGGGATCACTCTGGTTTCAGTGGTGCCCTGTCTAATTGACAGAAACCAGTAGCCATCTAATGTGGGTCTGGTGGTGTTACAATCCTACTCTACCACAATCACTAGCACCAAGAACAGGACGTTGCAAGAATCAGCTGCTGATGGATTGTTAACTGAAAAGGGGTCCCATGAGGGCAGCTGGTTGCTTGTGGTGACTGTTCAAATCAAGTCGAAGGCCGAGGAAGGCTCGAAGCATGGGCAGTGGTCTGAACGTTTCCAACAGCAAGGGGCAATATTGGTGGAGGGGCGAGGGGCACAAAAGGGATATCAAAAGTGGTTCACCTTTAAATGGCTTGGAATGTGTTGCCCAAGAATGTCCAGCTCAAAATAGTGCAGAACCTTAATCAATCAACGCCCCCATTTGGCTTGCAAACCCTCCTCTTCATATATTTTGTAATTTTACTGTTGGGGGTGACCGCTTCTGAGAGCACGGCACACGACAGCGGGCTGCGGACCAGTGGCGTTCTTGTGGTGCAACCATCGCGAGTTCGCTATACAATGGATCTCTGGATGGATTGCTGGGAGCCAAATGAGCCCATCAGGACACACGGGCCAAACCCCGAATCAAAGGTGGCGGAAATTGACGCAGCGACTGCGACCAAACTTCTAGATACTTCTATAGTATCTTCCGTCTGTTCGGAATCTCGGAACGCACCGAGTCCAGAGTCGATTCAAGGATCTGCAGTGTCTCCTTTCGCCCACTTCCCATCCCCCCGGTTCCACCCTGTTTCGCCCACGGCGTTTTCAGCTTCCACCTGTTTCGTTTCTGGGTAGACATGGGCCTCTGGATGGCGCACACCGTCGACCATCTCTTAGGGGGGCACCGTCGACCATCTCATGTGCAGCTGCACCACGGCCAGGTATGAGTCGAACTGTCTGTATTTGGTGGAATTCAACCGTCGTCGCTCCATATTCTATGGATCCCAATGGAGTCACTTAGAAGCTGTGTGGACCACAAAGCCATGAAATTATCCGAACCTGGTAGAACATGGGAACATGTGACTTTGGAGTGGTGCAGAAGCAACAAAGGGAGGCAAATGCTGGGTCCCAGTCTTGGTTCCAAGCCTTTGGACGTCCGACAAGCCCGTGGATGCTAAGGTGTCAGAAACCCATCCTTGATGGGCAGTGTCATCTGCATGGGGGCCGCGCGCCGTTCAAGGACCTGAGTTCAAGGATGCTCAAGTACCAGCACCATGATCATTCATAGGCCCCAGCATCAAAGACCATCATTGAATCATAGTGGTCCCAAACAAGTAGAGCCACAATGTCCAACTGCTGGTTTTAAAATGGAATTGATTGACTTGTTTCTATAGTCCCCAAAGGGTTCCTGGCCCACATCCTCAGAAGGTAGGGCCCAGGAAGTCGGGGTTGTCCCCCCCCTGGCACCCACTCCAACCACCTTCTAAAGACGTGGTTGGAGCCCTATAGGAAGTATAGTTAGTCGGATTTCCATCGGATGAAGTCTCATCCAACCGTCCAACACGCAGCCGAAATCCTTGCAAAACAGAGCAGTCTTCACCCTTCTGGTCAGAGGGCCCTTTCATTTCACCCAAACAAACAAGGAAAAAGCCATGGGCCATGTCTCTATTTGGGAGTGGCACTGCAAAAACACATGAGTTCGACGACCAGCCATGCTCCTGAAGCCAGGTCTGGGACATCGTGCCAAGGCCCAAGAGTAGAGTGACCCACATTTGTGTTGGGATTGATGGGACCCTACACCCTAGGGCTCCAACCATCTCCTCAGGTTCGGTGGTTAAACCCCCCTGGCACCCACCCCAACCACCGAACCTCAGGAGGTGGGCCAGGAGCCCTTTTTGGGGATCACCCGCCATCTTTCTTTGGATCTCCCGTCTGGCCATGGTCCCTATTGGTGAGCCCGGAACTGGCCTGGCCATGATTCATATCATTCGTTGGAAGACTCTTGTCAAAGAAACCCTTCTCTTAGTTGCCCTATACTTTCCCATGATTTAATTCAAGCCATGGATAAAACGTCTTGGAATATGTTCAAGAATAAAGTGTTCCATGATGTTCCATGCCAGTCAGAATCAAGCTTGCAAATCTCATCTCTCGTAACAACCACTCAGCCGTGGTCTTACTGACCCACCTGACCCGACATTGAAATCCAGGTGCTTCTTTCATGAGCTCGCGCTCTTGCCGGACGCGATCCAACCTCGGTGGGGTGGAGCTCGGTGGACAGCTTGCCCTTACTAGGTCCGAGTGCTTTCAGTCCCCAGTCCCATCCAGAGACCTTGGCACATACCCTGCACATTTCTATGGTTTTGGTCCAGTGCGCACAGTTCGGTCACTGAGTCCGCCCTTGGAAGACTGAAGGACAAGAAGAACACGTTTCTGGTGGACCCAAAGACATGGAAGCGCTGACATCTGGGACAGACTCCTGGAGGGTTGGTAGGTGACTGGACGGGCCGTGCTGACATCTACAAGGCCTACAGTATATGATTTCGATGAGAAGACCACGTGGAAGTGGATGGTGAACGGTACTTGGAAGATCACGTTCCTCCACCAAAAAGGGGTGCCACAGAGAGCAGGGATGAGTCCCAGGGAGCATAGTTGGAAGATACAGGTCTCATGCAAAACCCTCCGGCCACACTGGGTCCTTCAGGCTGGCTCTCGATGTGCTGCTGAGAGATCTGGAGCAACCGAAGCACAGAGTGGTCTGCCTGCGCAAGCGGCAGGCCCAGGGACCCTGAAACCAAGGGGAAAAACATTCGAAAGAAACACGAGCAATCCTGTGATGCATATTTTTGGTTAAGTCTGTCAATGTGACTAAAGTTAGATAGACAGATAGATTGATTGATTCATTGATCGATAGATTGATTGATTGTTTGATTGATAGATTGATATGAATTGATATGATATATGATGTGATATGATATGACAAATAAATAGATAGATAGATAGATAGATAGATAGATCTCAAATTCAATGCGGTGCTAGCAGTAGCTACTACGTCATATCTTTTATGTTTAAACAACACAATCAGTTTTCTTGATACACACTCCTATCAAACTGCCTGCTGGACCTGGCAAAAACGCCCCTCCCAACGGTAAGTCTGTGCATAAACCTAGAGTGGATTTCTGAAAGACCGGACCAGGAGATCGATAAACAACACCAATGAAAGCACTGCCCACCAAGCCCGGCATGAGCCCAGCAACATCATGGACCCTGCTTTGAAAAGCGCAGCGGATCCCGTGTGAAAAAGCCTCGTCCTTCCTAGCAAAAACACACCTCTCGAGCTCATTCCCGCTCACAGCGTGGAACCCGCGGTGCCTTCTTCCCAAGCAGCTCCATGATGCTGCGATATTTCCTCGGAAACACCATGTCGTCCAATAGTCCAACACCATTTTCGCACAACAGTCAGTTGATCCTGGCTCAAGTTCCTCCAAGTGACCGAATTTGATCCCTTGGCTTGAGGTCATGGAAAGGCCTGTGAACAAAAAGGTAGCTTTGAAGAAGCTGGATATTATCAGGGCCTTTGCTGAGCCAAGGCCCAAGGAGTCGCAGTGTGTTGATGAAACTTGCTGGGCTGGACCGATCCCATCATGTCGGAACCCACTCTCTTTGTGGAGAAGAAGTTGACTTTAACAAAGGCAGGACGCATGTCCAACGTTCACCGTTGATCAAGAACACATAAAACACATGCACACTAAAAGGGAACCATCACGATGTCCCCTGGTTGTGAATCGGCTGGATCTGAACTGCCAGCTGAGCCAGATCGCCAGCTAACACCCTACACCCTCACGCTTTGACGTTACAGTAGCTTCTTGTTACTAGTAGCGATGGTCTCCAACCGAGTAGCCTCTAGCTACCAGTTTCACCCTTCACACCCCCCATGGCATGGGGAAGACGGAACCACGGACCGCATGGACCGCCGCCACTCGACCCCACTCGATCGACCCTGGGTGGAACGGACTGACTGTGCAGCTGCCGCCAGGTCTTCTCCACACGGTGCGTGAGGTGCTGAGCACAATCCTCGCCCCGCCCACAGGACACCACAGGAGGGTATCCAAATCGCATCAAATCACACAGTGAGAACTCATGTCATTGTACTTGGATGAAGCTCAGAAGCCACTCCACTTAGCAAGATAGGAATATCGGAATATGGGTACAAGTGAGCAAGAACATCCAGCTTTCAGTATAAGCACCTCCCAGTTGAGCATCTCGACATCCACATCCAGCTCTTCCTGGCGGACCAGTATAAGCCGCTCCAGGGAACCGCCCCGAAGAGGACCGGCGGACCGGTAAAAAGGATGCAAAGAGACAAATGGAGAACGCACAGAAATCAATGTTGAGTAGGAATGTTGAGTGGGGTTCCCATTGATTGGCCTCCGCCTCCTTCCCCTGCAGAGTGGGGAGGGCCCATAAGAAAAAGGTTGGAACAAAGGTCTTAAAGCCCTTAGCAGGTGTGTTCGACGTACTGTACTTCCAAAAGGGAAGGGCGCCGGGCCTTCGGGGCCTTCGGTCTGCCGTAAGGATTCTATGACAAGGCTTAAAACCGGCGGCTGACACGGCCTAGGGCCCCAACCACATCCTCAGGTGGTCAGGGTGAGTCCACAAAGGTGAAAACCACTCTTGGGGACAGGTCGCAGCTCGCCCTGGGGACAGGTCGGAGTCCCCGGACCTAGGGTGATGCCGCTTCGAGGACCGACCTCGAGCCAAGGGAAGAGGAAGCAACAGGTCTCCAAAAGGACACATTGGAGTCCAGATCCTGACAGGGTCCATCCTCCTCCTCCATCCTCCATCCCTCCGTCCCCAATACATTCAATTAAGAAACACATCAAGAAATCGACCCACATGGCTGGCCGCCTCAGTGCCATCGTTCATGCGAGCCCCCGGGAAAACGCCCACCACTTGGCAAAGCTTCACCACCTCGGACGGTACGGCGGACCCGGCGGGGCCCTGCAGGGGTGGAGAGGGGGTGTTCTCGTCGCTGTCCCCAAACAAAGCGCAGTTCGAACCGCGCGGTGGAGGTATCAATCGTTGGGGGTGAAGGCATGAACATCAATTCAACTGGCCCACTGTAGTTTGTGGGTCTCGTGGAAGAGCAAAAAACACCGCGGAATAAAGTGAAAAACGGCTAACATTGCTGTTCTGTTGTGAGCTCACCTGGAAAGTTCGATCAATATCAGCAGCTAAGTCTATGCTCTGATGGCCTCTGGCTGGGGGGGAGGGGGCACATCTCACACAGATCAAATGAGCCACCTTGGCGGAAGGATGGGACTCCACTGCTAGAGGTTTGCAAATACACCGACACATCGTTTGATATTATATACCTAGCACTTCCAATGGGTGTCCAATGGTGACCTATAAACAGTGAAGGGTGGTCCATTGGTAACTTGGAAGCAGCTGGTATATATACAAAAACCCACAAGAAGCTGCTGAATCACCATGTTTTCGGGCTTCCGCAACATGAGGGGAGGATGCCCTCTACCCCTGCTACCCCCCGCCCTCTACCCGAGCTCCCAACATGCGCGACACGCGAATCTTTTGATCCATCATTTGATCTGCAGGACTCTGGGTTTTGAATCTCTGCGTTCGGATCCCTCCTGAGCATCATCTATCCATAAACAAAAACAGGCTCCCCCCATAGCCATGCCCCATGCTGCAAGAAGAAGCGTGAACTTTCCAACAATTGAAGTCTCAAGGGTTTAGTTTATCATAGTTTATCACATGAACTTCTACTTGTGGCAGTCCCAAAATCTCGGAGGACGGGAACCATCTGTTAGATCACCCTTCTGGGCGATGCTATCGATACGTGTGGGGGGTGGTGACCTCAGTTCCCGGATGTCATCGTCAGCTCGGGTTCCTTGAAACCCTAACAAAACTATACCTCAAAACCATGCGGCTACTTGGACTGTGCTTTGTAAATCCCAATGTGGTCATGAAACAATCAGCATGAGCACTGGAGTCTCTCGCAAGAAGATAGACTATCTCGAGGAGTGACCAACATTGAGCAACTTGATGCCTGTGTTAGGCAAGGCAGCGAAAGGCCAAAGAGAAGATAGCCCTGAACTGGCACATGGCCCTCTAGTTCCTCTCAAACTCCTTGAGAGAACACACCCAAAGATGCGCGGATGCGAACAAACCCTCCCGCAAATCAACACCTCACCGTCCCTCTCCTCTTCGCAGCTCGATCTGAGGGGACCTTGGGAGTTTCCTGACCAATCCATCTCCACTCTTGGACATTTTTGGATCGCACCAATGCTGCAAGACCTACACACCCTGCGCGTCCGAAGTGGACATGCCTGAAAACCTGTGCAGCTGCCGCAGATGTTACCGAGTGGTCCCGAATGAATGCCCATGCCATTAGTTTTCGCCCTCAGGTTCCTTGGACACGTTAAAGGTCCTACCTGTGTCGACCAGTTCATATTTCGGTATTTGGTAGGCGGTCCCACCAAAAAGGTGCTATAGAAGGAAATACAGTAGAAGCTCAACAGCCAGTTGACGAAGTACTCAGCCAAGGGCTACACCAAGTCTCACTGAGCCTTGCACTCCTGATGGCCAGCTCGTCGATTGGTCTTCTTCCAGGATCGAACTACCCTCCATCACGCATTCACAGAAGTGGAACATAGGAAACTGGCAGAGCATGTCTACCAAGAAGCCTTGCTCAGGATATCCCATTGCTTGTGCAGCGGATGTATCCAAAACCATCTACCAGTGGGTGACGTTTTCCAGTGACCAACCACCCACTGAAAGCTGTCACATGTTGGCAGGTCACATTGTGCAACCCTAGGGGTCCAAGTACCTTCTTAGAAGTTGACTGGAGACACTAGTATGTAGTTGCCAGGAGGGTCCAGTCGTACCGAACCTGAGAAGGTACGACTGGATCCCTAGGGCAATATCAATATCTCTCTCTACCTAATGTGGGGGGTGATTGGGGGTGGCAGGTCTGGACCTTCCGAATGCCTGGATGGAGCTGGGAGCAGGCTGGCAGTGGTGAGAGCTGGAACGCAAACAACACCGTGGAATTCGCACGGGACCCTTGCTCTCAAAATGAACTATTTAAAATACTACATATATCTTTAAAAACTCCTGCAAATCAAGTGAAATCTGGTATGTTGGAGCCTTTAAATCACAACAGGAGGAAAGCGGTCAGAGTCATATGACGTATATGACGTCATATTGTGGTGTTGGTTTTGTCCATACTGAATGCTGAGCATGAACGACTTAGCTGAACAATAAAATCCAATTACAAATGACATGATTAGGCCAAATCTCCGGGAGTGCAGGCAGCGCCAGCATTGGGCGCCCAGTGCACATTTGGAGCCGCAAGCTCTCAGGTAGCTTGCCACACGACTACATACAGGCTCAGCTGTGCCAAACTAGCTTGATATTCACTTCATGACCAGCCAATTCAGAAGGCACTTGCGACACTGCAAAGTTGAGTCTGGCACAGTGGCCACCCTGTTGTGCCACTTTCGCTGCCAGTTCCAACGACTCTGACACTTCTTCGCTGCGGCCGGAGTTCGACGAACGAAGAGAACCAAGGCGTGGATCCCAAAGACACTCCCCTTTCAGCAAACCTAGCAACCACCATCAAACCACACATCATTGCAAACCACCATCATCAAACCTAGCAAACCTACCAACCACCATCATTGCAATTATAAGGGATGTATCAAATCCTCGAGCCCGACCAGTCCACCAGCAGGAACAGCAGGAATTGGACGAGGTGCCAGTGCCAAAACCACGGGGTCCATTTGAGACTTCGACGGAAGACCCAGCAACCCACTTCTTCACCACTTTCTGCACCCACCACGAACCAGTTGACTCCCCAAGTTGACTCCCGAAACGACCCCAAAAACGTCCAGCGCTGAAGAAACGACCACGACCCCTGGGCATCGAGCAGGAGAATGAGACCAAGAAATGAATTTATGGCCGTGGGTCCAAACCCGGATAGCTTGGTTGACCTACCAGGCGTCGGTCGTTCGGGCACCAGCAGTCCAGCGGTTTTAAGGGAGCATCATTCGTCTTCAGCGGGGTAGCTAATGGTGAACACAGTGACGCCAGAAAAAAGGTGGACCCTTCGAGAACTCCAGGTCCAGGTGAACCTTGTTCCAGCTGTTCATGTTCACTTGGGAAACCAATCAAGAGGCAGGTTGTTGGTGTGGTAACATGATTGTACCATGATGGACGCCTACATTGCCTATTTTTGAAGCAGCTCTAAACTCTCCTTTGATCCCCTGTGTACCTGGAAATGATCTAAAACGCATGCATGATGTGATATCAATAATAGGGCCATCGCTCATTTGCTTGGGGCTCCTGCTCTCCCTGCCCTATAATCCCCTCCAACTTCGACCAACAAATATCGCAATCAAAATGATCAAAGTTGCTCTTTATTGAATCTGCCTGAAGACCCAAAATCAGTTTGTACATGTTTGTACTCTTTGGTCTTCTTATGTTAGACTGTGCCTCACAGAAACCTCGTCCCAAAGATACATCCACGTTCCTTGAGAAAAACAACACGTCCGGTGAGAAAGACGAAACGTCTCGTCCACGCGTTGGCCGCCGACACCGGAGACTCATCGTCCGTCGTTGCGGCGCCCGGAGACTCATCGCCAACCGAGTCGATGGGTGGAGGTTGTTGTGAGGTCTGAAGTCGTTTAGGCTGGAAAGCCGTGGATACCCCAAACTTGGTTGGTTTAGAGATGGCCATGAAATTCGACACTGGTGAGTTCTTGTGTTCTTGTAAGTGTTCATGAGTGTTCTTCATGGAGTCCTGAAGTACTCACGTCTAAAAAGGTAGCAAGTTCAATCCTGCAAATGATCTTAATTCATTGAGTGAGCAACCCTTGGGAATCTGCCTACCGACTGGAATTGGATGAAATTGAAGTCCCTAGAAGCGACGTTGCTTCCTTCGACTGTCGTCTGATAGGTGATCAATGATCTGGCCCTGTTGCATCTTTGTACCTTGCCAATTCACCCAGCAAGCCTTTGATACAGAGACATCGTCATTTCAATTCGCTTTTCTCTTCGCAACATCACCCATTTCACCAATCCAAACTCAGTCATTTTCCTCCAAGGTCCATCATATGATCTGACATGGGACAGACCTTGCATGGATGCAGGAGGCGGGTTCATTATATAAGTGGCCAAGAAATGAACTCTTCCCTTGGCCTTGGCAATGACTGTCATAGTCATGCTGGTCATCGTGCAGCTTCCTTCAGGTGTGGATCCTGTGCAGTGGAAACCACTGACGTCATGTCAATCATGCCGCTGATTCGGCATTCCGAGAATCCGACGGTTCGAGTGAACTCCTGAGTTCCCGGGATCCATTCGGTTCCACCGGTTACACGTTCCATGCCGGGAGGTGGAGAGGGTCTTTCCTCCTGAGTTTCGGGGATCTATGGCCATGGCTGAACTTGCAAGCTGAACAGAGCTGAAGACGTTAGTCTTCCCCTTTATACAAAACAAGCAGGCAACCTCTGCATACTACAGTAGAGCAAAAAGACGATCCTCAGTAAGAACTCAAACCTTGCTGTCGGGGATTTCATGACAACTAGGTCGATGTCGGGTCAGTCTGGCCTTAAGCTGCACGATGCTCCCCGAACTCCAAGCTGGTTCCCAGGCCCAACTGCTGTCAGACGTGCCATTTCAATCACCTGGTCCTTTCCACATGCAGCGTTCCTGTCACACCCGAAGTCGTCAGCCGGAGCCCCAATGCCCAAGCTCGCTCGCTCGCAGAGCAGAGGAGCCGCCGGAGCGAACGCGCGGCCCCGGATCTCTCAGGCATTTCGGCCTTAGAAACCACGCGGCGATGGAAGATGGCAGCGATGGTCGTCTCACGGAGGTCCCAGGCTAGCCTTTCTACCGATCTTTTCTACTTCATAGTGATGCTTTTTTGATGTTTTGGAATTTGGAATCTGTCT